AGACCTAAAGGCAGTCTGCGAAAGTGAATCTGAACGTTCTGGGAGTATGTTGAACTGACAACCCAACACCCTGACCCAACTACGGAGGAGTCCAGGCTGTGAATGTCGAGTGTCTGCCCATTTTCCTAAACCCCTTTGGGTTTGCTCACACTCCAGCAGGCAGCAAAGCTAATCCTCGGCAGAGACTCCGCAGGGACGAAACGTCCGTCTCAAACTCTGGTTCGCCTGAGGGCCAGGGGGCGCCCGCCTCTTGGATGACCCTGGAATGTGTTCCGGATCTTTCCGGATCAGTCTGGAGATTCTTCCCCACGACCTCGCATATCTGCTAGTCTCAGGGAGGAGAAATCTCTCTTTCCAGTCCGCTTTTGGGGCCAGAGGGGCTCGACTGACTTCAGAATTGTCAATGTCCCTTTGCCCACGACCCCTGCACTCACAGCACTTAACCCGGGAGAGGCAGGTATGGAGTGACCTTCTCCGGTGATTGTCGGGCCAGAAACCCAGCCCGCATCCGCAGCGGTCTTGCCTCTGTGGCCCAAACCCCAGTTCCAGTCCTGACTCTGTTCTTTTTTTTTTTTTTTTTTTTTTTTTTTTTTTTTTTTTATCCTCACCTGAGGATATTTTTTCCATTTTTGGTACAGATAGAATGGGAGGGAGAGAGAGGAAGGGAGAGAGAGTGAGAAACATCGACGTGAAGGGACACATCGAGTGGCTGCCACCCGCACGACCAACCAGGGCCGGGGACAAACTGCAACCAAGGTACATGCCCTTAGCGGGAACCGAACCCGGGTCTCTCCAGACCGCAGGCCGACGCTCTAACCGCTGAGCCAAACCGGCCAGGGCCTGACTCTGTTCTTAAAGCAAGTGTTTTGGTCTCTCTAAGCCTTGGTTTCCTCAATGCGGATAATTTTGTACCTACCAGGGGTCGGGGAGATAAAGAAGGTAAAGGACTTGACAGAACTCCTGGTGCTCTGTAAACTCTCAATAAATAAAGGCTAGACATTACTATTAGTTATGGCAATATATCTGCTTTTTCCACTTGACTGTAAGCTACTGGAGGACAGGATTCCCCAGCAACTGGCATAGTGCCTGGCATGGTAAGTGGGAGGGGAGTGGCTGACTGAGAACCTCAAGTTCATGGGGTATGATGGAGGGAGAGGCAGAGCAAGGGACACCTAAAGATGGGGAAATCCAAGACAATCTCTGGCCTGAAGGCAAAGGAGACATGAGGAGGCGGCTGGGGAATGTCAGGGCTGGGCAGCAGAGGGCAGAGGACTTGAGGGCCAAGCTGGTTCCTGCTGTTTCAGAACCCTGGACCCAACTCAAAGTTCCCAAAGAGTTTTCTTGAGTCACGCCCCCTCCATGGGTATGTTTCCTTTATGGTCTCTCACTGACCTGTGAGAAAAAAATAAATGGGATCCAAAGACTCAGACCAAAAAGTTTGGAATCCTGTCTGCCTAAGGACCAAAAGGGCTGGAAGGAGGTACTAATGGTACCCCGAATTCCTGGAGGCCACTCTAGGGCTAAACTGAGAAAACCAGATTGAGGACACTAACAATAAGAAAGGACTAGGTGAGAGATGTCCCCAAGAAGATGCAATGACCATTGAAGAAGGGATGAGAGCACGACCAGCCTGATCCTGGAAAGGTGGAAATGGGAGGCTTCCATAAACCAAGCCCCCGCCCTCTCCCAATATCTTTGAGTTTAAGAACGAACCCCAAAGAAATTCTGAACGTGCAGGTTCCTAGAGCTACTATTTCAGAGCACGAAAGAATGCCTCTCAGATCAATGGCCCAGCACCCCATGTTTCTGGGACCCTCAATGAGAGAGTGCAGAGTGCGGACACGGGGCAGTCCGACCAAAGCGCGCGTAACCCCCGAGTGGGATAGGCGAGGGAGAATGGTCCTGCCATTCTGCGCACGAAGGGCACCTCGGCGTCCACCGCGCTCCCTGCTGGCCAGGGGCAACCCTTGCCCCGCCGCAGGCTTCAGATCGGCTTTCTGTGTAACGGAGGACGCCCAATGGTCGAGCAGAGGTAGTGCACTGGGCCAGGCGAAGTTCTGAAACCCTGACCCAGGCCAGCGATGGGGTAGGGGTTTAAGAGCAAGGCACAGTGGACCTGTTCTCCAGGGCCGCTCAGGGTCTGCTGTTCAAGGAAGGCTCGCAGTAAATACCCTGTGACTTGCGCTATGGCAATAAAAAGAATGGGTACCTAACTCAAAGGAAGTCATGCCTGCACTGGAGCCTCGGTGTTTATCTCTACCATGGGAATGATGATTCCACCTCTATTCTATCCCGGTCTGACAAGGGTTGCCGCGAGGCTCCCACGGGTGGAGACACGAGTCTCCGTGACCAGATAAGGTGCGGCAGCGACAACCTGGTGGGCACGGGATACAAAACAAGAATGTTTCAGCCATGAGACTGAAACATAAGGCCAGAGCAGAGACGCTTCCCCCGTCCTTCTCTAGGTCCCTGAATATTAAAGGCATGTCCGGGCTGAAAGAGAAAAAACGGGAAGCAGAAAAGAGGAAGGAAGTTGCCCTGAGGCAGTGGAGGAAACTCGACGGAAAGGAGGCACCTCTATTCCCCCAAACTCACTCTAAGTTCCACCTTAACTCCTCTCAGAGCACTATAGAGAGGGCCATCAGTCTGCTCCGAACTGTGAGCGAAACGTCAATTTCTAGGGGACTGTCTCCCTGATTTGAGACCAAACTGAGGAAATCATTTGGATATTGTGATGCGGTGATCAGATCATTTGGGCAAACCTCAAGTCTTTACTTGATTCTCCAAATGCAGTTGTAACTGCTGCTTCTCTTTCTCTCTCCCTCCTTTTCTCTTACATACACACACACAGTGAAAAGGGAAATGTAGCCCGGCTGGTGTGGCACAGTGGATTGAGCGTCATCCTCAGGACAGAGAGTTCCGGTTCAATTTCCGGTCAGGGCACATGCTCAGGTTTCGGGCTCTGTCCCCAGTAAGCAGCATGCAGGAGGTGGACCATCCACGTTTCTCTCTCATCTATGTTTCTCTCTCCATTCCTCTCTCTCTCTAAAAAATCAATAAAAACATATTTTAAAAATTAAATAAAAGATAAAATAGAACTAGAGTCATACTTGCTTCCAGGAAGATGCCATTTTCTAGATCTCAGCTGACCTGGACTTGAGGCTATTAATAGAGGTTGTGGTAGATAATAAACTACAACAAATTTACCACCATAAAAGAGTCTGGAGGACATGCTTGGAGTGGGAACAAAGGAGCACAGAGAAGGTGAGAGGATTGCAATGGATCTTTTATACATCGTTTTCAGTTGGGGGAAATTTCTATATTAATTTAAAACAGCTAGCTACCATTGTGATGATAGAAACTCTTGGAATATGGAGCCAAAATACCAAAAAGCAATCTGATTAAATATCTAGAGCTTACTTTTGTAACCGGGACCCACAAAGCAGCAGACTGAGTGAAGCGAAGAGGCAGTGTGGTCCCGGTGGTAAAGTAAGCCCCACCTCCCAAATAATTTCTGAACATCTCACCCTTCTCCATTAACCAGAAGGAAGGCTGGGAACTAAATCCAGGCAGATGTGAAGGCGGATTACCTTCCTCATTATTCCACAGAGGCTGAGCTGTGTGGATGCTGTAGTTTTAATTACATACTTGCTTTTTCTGGGGAAGAAGACCAAAGATCGTATTTTTCAAAGTATCAACTTGTTTTCCATTAGGCAGTTGTTGTAACAAGTTCTTTCAGCTACACGTTATGTCTTTAGGAAGGGGGTGTTTCAGATGGCGCGCACTAGCACAATTTTGTGGCTTTTAATTACTATTTTGTTCTTTTGCGGGGTTTCAGAGGCTGGCGCCTCGGCATGATTAGACCGTCTACTGGGCCCGTCGCAACCATGCACACCCCAGAAGGTGGCGCCACAAGTCAGATAGTGTCGCAGGAACTTTGGACTTGGGAGTCCAGTAAAGGCTAGCTAGTGTCCCCCAACTCTGCACCACCGTTCCCAACCACCAGGAAATAAAGATATAGAGGCAGTCACCACTTTCGATTTAAAAGAAATTGCAATAGGGCGAAACAGGGTCCTAAAGTGAAAAATTGTAAAATAGGGTTAAATGCATGAAATACATTTTTTAAATTTGTTTCTGTAAGTTTACCAAAACTTGTAGTATGGACACGGCTCTCTCATTTAAATATCATTCCATTTCCTCTTTCATAAAAACGTAGAATTTCTCGTTAAAATGAAATTTGAAGACCATCTGGTCAGTCAGTCTGGTCTAGCTTTCCAACCCAGAGAGGAAATTCCCGTGATGGCTTTTCGGGTGTCTATTAGCCATCTCCGCGTGTCAGGAAAGTACAAGGCAAAATGATGTCAAGTAGTATATTATTAGCAATAATACCTTTGAATTTAAATAGCTTTTCTCTCAAGCAACAAGGAAAATCGTTTAAATATTATCTGATTAATTGTCCTAATATCTCTGCGGGTTGGTTAGGAAGTAGGTATTATTTATTATACAGTACATGGTTTATGGATCATTTAAATCAATTGACTATGTCAAGTGCCGAGTAGCTGACAAGAAAAGTGCCAGACACTTCGAGGAAAAGCGGAGCTAGAACTGGACGGGCTCTGGGCCACTGCTTTATTTTGATTAATGTTTGAGAGCTCACCTCGGACTTGAAGGTACGAATCACTGGAATTGGTTGACACTTGTACTCAGAATGGGAAATACCAGTCTCCATCTTCCTGCCTTCCATCCTCCTGCCGCCGGCCACGCTAACTTCCCACCCCACCCCCAGCCCCTTGCCGCTCAAGTTTGGCAGCGCTTGTCTGCACCCGCGACCACAGCAGCCGCAGCGCCTGCCCTGTGACAACCGCCTCCCCACTCAGCGTTCCTGGGTGCCTGTAGCCCCGCGGCCCAGCGCTTCTGATTGGCTGTTGCTAGGTGACGTTGCCTGAGCTCACGTGACAAGTGTTAAATGCCCACCCTGCAGGAGCCCGCCCCGCAGACAATCCTAAAGCCGCAGCAGGCTGCTCACCTGCTCCCGCCTCCTGGAGCCCCTGCCCAGCCCCATCACCCCTGCCCCCTCCACTGCCGGCCCCCGCCCAAGCCGACGTTGGGCAAGAAGCCGAGCGGGCCGAGAGGTGGAGAGAGGATGCGGCGGTCGGCAGCTGCCTGGAGCTGTGCACGGTGATTGCCTCCCCCGAGGAGGAGTTGCCTAGACCATAGCCACATTTCTTGTTTTCCTCCCCACCCACCCACCCCGTAATTACATTGGCTGTTGGAGGGGACCTGGAGAGACGGAGGAGGCGCCTTGCTTCCCCCCTCGCGCCCGCCACCCCTGCTCTTTCCCATCCCGGGGCAGGATGACTGGAGTCTTTGACAGTCTGGTGGCTGATATGCACTCGACCCAGATCACGGCCTCCAGCACATACCACCAACACCAGCAGCCCCCGAGCGGTGGCGGCGCTGGCCCCGGCAGCAACAACGGCAGCAGTCTCCACAAGCCCCAGGAGTCGCCGACCCTCCCAGTGTCCACAGCTACCGACAGCAGCTACTACACCAACCAGCAGCACCCTGCGGGCGGAGGCGGCAGTGGGGGCTCTCCCTACGCGCACATGGGTTCCTACCAGTATCACGCCAGCGGCCTCAACAACGTCCCTTACTCCGCCAAGAGTGGCTACGACCTGGGATACACCAACGCCTACACCTCTTATGCGCCCTATGGGACCAGTTCGTCCCCGGTCAACAACGAACCTGGTAAGCATAACGCTGGCGTCTAGGGTGCCAAGTCTGTCTAGCTACTGCGATGGGTGGGATAAAAATATTTGGGGCGGGGATCTTTCCGGAGCCCTGGCCTTTCACACTACCTGCTCCCCGCCCGCTCCCAGCCCTCACCATTCTCAACCTCCTATCCGCCTAGGATCTTTGGGTACGTCCCTCGGTGCTCAGCTGGTCGGACCAGGTGGCCTCGGGGACCGCGTGGTGCATGCCTCATGGCAACCTCATTTCCTTGCCACCTGCTTCTCCTTTCTCTCCAGTATGCGTCTGTCTTCCCCTTCGCTGGTGGGCCCAGCTCCCGGCTTCGGCCGTCGCACAGCTCCGCGGGTTGCGAAGTTGAGCCTGAGAATCCGCCTCCCTGCTCCGGCCAAGTCCCACGCCGGGCCTCCCTGCAGGCGGGAACTCTTGGGCTCCCCGGCTGCGCTATTCTCACAATTCTGTACCGTTGCAGAGAAAGAGGATCTCGAGCCTGAAATTCGGATAGTGAACGGGAAGCCAAAGAAAGTCCGGAAACCCCGCACTATCTACTCCAGTTTCCAGCTGGCAGCTCTTCAGCGCCGTTTCCAAAAGACTCAATACCTGGCGCTGCCCGAGCGAGCCGAGCTGGCCGCATCTCTGGGCCTCACCCAGACTCAGGTGAGGGCTCCCGGCTGGGTGTGGGGGGCAGGAAGAAGAACGAACGAGGAGGGCGCTGGTCTGGGATGGCTGGGAAGAAGGCGGTTTCAGGACAATGTTTGTTAGAGTATTTAAAAAATAAATTGAAGGATTTCGAGGTCCGCCCCTTGAGCGGCCTAAACTTCTACACTTGAAGCTTAAAATAGCCCAGGGTAAAGACAGGGCGGGCAGAAATCCGGTACTACCTAGCCTTTCCCCGCGCTACTGATTAAGCGGGTAAAATAATTGACCCCCTTCTGACCTCCTCCCGCTGTCAACATCACCACCGAACACACACACACTAGCTGTCTTGGGCTTTTTGAGATGGCTACCCAATGGAGTAGGAATCGTCGTACCCTCCCAAGCTGCGGCGCGTGATCCACCTATCTGCCCAAGGTGCACGGTGCCCACCTCTTGCTGTCGGTCTTTCTACGCTTCCTCCCCTCCACTGCCCCGTGCCGAGTTTCCTCTACTAATGCTCGGGTCCCTTTTCCACAAAGGTCAAAATCTGGTTCCAGAACCGCCGATCTAAGTTCAAGAAGATGTGGAAAAGCGGCGAGATCCCCGCGGAGCAGCACCCTGGGGCCAGCGCTTCGCCACCTTGTGCTTCGCCGCCGGTCTCGGCGCCAGCCTCCTGGGACTTTGGCGCGCCGCAGCGGATGGGGGGCGGTGGCGGCCCGGGCAGCGGCGGCAGCGGCGCGGGCAGCTCGGGCTCCAGCCCGAACAGTGCGGCCTCGGCTTTCCTGGGCAACTACCAATGGTACCACCAGGCCTCGGGCTCTGCCTCACATCTGCAGGCCGCGGCGCCGCTGCTGCACCCGACGCAGACCCCGCAGCCACATCATCATCATCACCACCACCACCACCACCACCACGGCGGCGGGGGCGCCCCAGTGAGTGCCGGGACGATTTTCTAACCCCAGGGAGACTGCGCCAGAGACTAACCTCAGTGCTCGCCCCCAAGCCAGAGGGTCTGTCCAGCTGGCCCGCCGAAGCCACCCTTCCCGGAGGTTGTGTCCCGGGATGGACTGCCCCAGGTCCAGCTCCGTCTTGCGGCCACCGAGCGGTCAGGAACTGGAAGGTTCCTCTGGGAGGTCCCCGGCGGCTGCGTGAAGGCCGCGGGCCACCGCCGTCCTTCCGACCTGAGCCCCGCCTCAGACTTGCCTCTCCTCTCTTTCCCTCCTGACGAGGCTGGACGGCGCCATCCTCGCCGCCGGCAGCGAGCTGAGTTCAGGAAAGGGACTCCTCCCCACCCCCACCTTCTCCCACCCCGCGCGAGGCTTCCCGGGCGCTCTGAAGCTCCTTTCTCCTCGCCAGCCCCCCGGCTCAACGCTGTCTGCCCGGGTTATTGACCTCCGGGTCCTGCCTGCCCGCTTGCCCGCTCCCACATACCCCCGTGACCCCGGAGGCCCGCCGCTTTTTTTCTGCTCTGCGGTTTCCAGCCCTTGGAGCCTCCTCCTTGCCCCTCCTTAGTTCTCTCCCGCCCGGGAACTCTCCCTTAGCTCTGTCCTCATCCATCACCAGTGGAGTTATTTTATTTTTTATTTTTAAAAGTTTAGGTGCCTTTGCGGATGACCTCATTTTGATGTTGGGGGGGAAAAAAGTGATTTTTTAATATGTGGACACTGCAAAAAAATGTGTTTAAATTATCTTTTTTAAAACCTATTCAGGATTATTAGCCTGGACTTCGACATAGAGTTTGTAAATAAATGTGTCTGTGCAGATTTTCCCACTGATTTGTGTAAAAACAATCATCTTTTCAGATATTTTGTAGACCCTCATTTGTGAAAACTCCGGTTTAGCAGTGACCTCAGCAACCTCTCCGGTTTATTTTTTCCCGTAAAATTTTTCTCAGTTAAACTAAGCTACTGATTTGGATTTGTTATATCGTATCCTAAAATCTTTGTTCTTGAAATGAAAGGTATTTTGGGGTTATTTATTATGAAAACAACATGCTCTTAATGTTGATTTTACAATATGAAGAGATTATTTAAATAAATTATTGTTTTCATTGGATGTGTGCGTTTTTACGTTGGTGTCACGCACGACCTGGAAGCTCCAGCCGCTACCCAGCAGGGGAGCCTGGTCAGCCAAGAGTGACATTTACATCTTTCGAAGGCTGTGAGCGTAGCGAGGTGTGCTGTGACGAGAACAGACTGACTCTGCTCAGGGCCCGTGCGGAATGTTCGAGATCTGCCCCACCCGCGTGCGGACTCGGGGTTCGCCAGCTTGCCGCGCGGTGAGTCACTCAGAACCCGGCGGCTCCAGTCTCCGCCCTCTCTGCCCCTCCGGCGGCGCCGGCGCCTCGGTCCAGCGCCTGGGAGGTCTCTACCGCCTCCGCTCCGGGAGAGCTGGCGGTGCAGTGTCCCGGAGGCGCCGCGGGGAACCTGCAGCGGGAGCCGGAACACTGACCCCGGTCAGACCCCTACGTTGGTACATTGGACCCTCCCCTCTGTTTGCCCCGCAGCCCTTCTGGGGCTGGCTGAACCGAGAACTCCGTGAGTCACCCAGGCCCTCAGGAGACTCAGTTGGCTGCTCTGGAATGCAGGGCGACCTCAGCGCACAGGGCTTCACTAGCACACATACAATCCCACACCGTGACTCTTCCAGACACATCACTGCTATCACACGCTCTCAGACACACACTCATAGCCACACACTCGTACTGAATAAAACACACACGACACAAATTCTCACACACTGATATACAAACTTATGCACACGCACATGGAGACTGATGCAAATTGCTGCAGAAGTGGCATCTTTCCACCTCATATTCTCTGAGGGGAAAGGTCCACATATCATTCAGCTCTGCTTTCCATTTTGGGTCCCATCTAACTAGCTTTCCAACTTTTCCAACTTCCTACTTTCTGGTATTCCCTGCAAAGGCCAAGGGTAGGTGGGTAATGCCGGACTGAACTTAAAAGTTCCTTTTCTTGAAAACACTGGGGCCTACAGTTGGAAGTTTCCTGGCTTCAATCACTCACTGTGTGACGTTGGGCTACCCACTTCACCTCTGTTGCGGTGGGCATATCTATAAGACAGGAGAAATAAAAACAGCTATCTCAGAGCTGTGAGCATTTGATGCCACAATGATGTAACACAGTGCCTGGCACATAGTAAGCACTCAATACATTTTTGCTATTAGTAGTATATTGTTTGAGCCCAGTGCCCCCAAACAAGGAGGTTTTACTTTTGCTTGCAATTATGAGGCCCAGAGTTAGCCAGAGGCCTTTCCAATCTCATCGTATGGGAAGAGCAGCACTCTAGGGCTAGGAGACCTCTGGCCCTTTTCAACATGGAAGTCTGAACCTTGGGCATCCCTTCTGAAGGAGCTGGGCAACCTCTTACTGGAGAGGAGGTTGGCAAGATGGAGAGGCCTCCTCTCCTCTAGGATGGTTATTCAGGCCATTCTTGTTGTGTGTCTTCAGCTCACCTCTGCCAAAAAGACTGACATCAGATGGTAGTGACTTTCTAGGCTGAGTGGCATAATCCTGAGAGGAATTCCAATTTTTCTGGACAGATTGTTTTTGGGCCTACACTGAGCCTGCTTTACAGTAGAGTGTGCTAGGGAGTTGGGGCTCTGCAGAAGGCAGGGAGGTTACACAACCCTGTGTCCGTTTGCATTCCTGTGTGTTTTCCCAGACTAGAGAAGCCTGGGCTGAATCCCATTGACCCCTCGATTTTGGCTTTCCTAAGCAGCCGCTGCCTAGCAGACCCCCGTTCCAGCCTCCCTCCCCCCAGCTCCAAATTCCATGGTTTTCTCTGGGTGCCAATGGTTGGTGCCAGCCTTCCTCCTACGGTTTACTGTGTCTTCCCCTCCTTCGCACGCATTCCCCTCCCCCTCCTGAAACCAGCAAGGAGAAACGGGGCAGTAAATTGGCTGGTGTAGAGGATCTGCAGCAGACAAGATGATTAAGAGGCCTACGCCGGAGCGCCCGGGGCAGGGAATGTCAGCCCAAGTTGGAATCACGCAACAGGCCTTGGCATGAGCGAGCCTGGGAGTCGGGAGGGCGGGCGGCCCCAGCTCCGGGGTGGGCCGAGGCCCCACAGACTCGCCGGAGTCACCGAACCTGGCACCGGAGGCGGCGGGGTCGGGCCGGGCCAAGGCGCGTCTTTCCCTGGGAAGCCCGGGAAGCAGAGGGCATAAGGGTGCAGGGGCCAGAGGAAGGGGGCGTTTCCACCAACCAGGAGAAGGGCAAAAAGAGGGAAAGCAAAGATGCGCCCGGGTCCCAGAAGTGAGGAGGCGGAGGGGGAGGGGTGTCCAAGGGGAGAAACAAAGCCGGGCTGGGGAAGGCGGGGACCGGCTCCAGCCCTGCCCGGGGCGAAGCGGTGGCAAGCCTTTCTCACAGTCTTGAGGCCCGCTGGGAGACACGGAGCCCTGTGATCAGCCCGCCGCCAGCAGACTAGCCCCCTCCCCCGCCACCCCCCGCGCCCGACTGCACTCCCCAAAGCGCGAGTGAAAAATGGAAATGGGAAGCAGCGATCTCGTCTCCCTACACTGGGAAACGAGCCGCGCTCGGAACACACATAAATCTTCATTGCAATCCCCTTCCATTCGCTCGTGTGAAATATCAGGTCAGAGACAGGATATGACAGGCGCTGGGAAGCCGGGGGAGGGAAGCCAAAGAGTGAGGGGTGCCCGACCCTCTCCGCTCCATCTCGTAGCAGGGTTGCTCCAAATTCCCGCGGAGCGCTGGCACCGAGTTCCAATTGCCGAGGCTGGCAGCCGGGACGCGGCTTCATCCCCTTTTCTCCTTTTACCGCCCTCACCTGCACGCGGCTCCACCGCCAGCCACCCCGCCCCAAGTGCTCCGCGGAGCGCAGACACACACGTCCCGCGGCCCCGAATTCCCACCGCTCGCCCCGCCGTTCCCGGGCAGGGGAGGGCAGAGAAGAAAGGGAACGGATCCCGGGCCTAATCAGCGTGGCTGCAATTTGGGACTGTTTAGGAAGTTTCCCCTCGGCCCTCTTTCAGGATTACTTGAGAAAGTTGTGACTATCTGTCCTGTATAAGGATTTCCGAGACTGGTGGGGCAAGTTTGAAAGAAATATCAAGTTTGATGGGGGCGGAGAGAGAGAGAGAAGACTGCAGCTTTGTTTACAAACAGTTTGTAGTGGAAGGGGGTGAGGAGGGAAGAGGAATGCTGGAAGTGGTCGAATAGTCCCCTCCACTGTTAGACCGCAAAGGAGAACAACGACGGGGAACAGAAAACCCCAGTGCTTTTCAAATAAAGGGAAAAAAGTCGTCCTCCTTGGCTGTAAAACCCAAGAACAACTCCCGCACTCCGACACTGACTCCCGCCTCCTTCCACCCCTGGTCCCAAGCACTCGCTCAAGTCGAAAGCCCGAACAGAGACCACCAGTGCCTTAAACCTGTTGTAGGGTCAGAGACCTCTGAGAATGAAGCTACAAGTTCTCTCATTCTCCTAAAATACAGGTCCCTTTGCATTAGACTTTGGGGTCCCAGGTCCGGGAATCGGGTGGGTGGGGCGCGCCCCTGGCCCTGTCTGACTGGGCTCTCGGAAGACTGACGGGCTCTGGCAGGGTCGAGGCACTTAGAACAGCCTCAGGAAAATCTCTCCGGATTAGGATCCTCCCTCCCTACCTGGGATCTGACCCGCCAGCTTTACCCGCTGCCCCGCCCCTTTCCCTAAACACACCAGCGCGGGCGGATGCGGAGGCCCCACATCCCTCTGAGGCCTCTCTGGCGGGAGTTCCCCTCCCGGGGACTGGTTTGTCAGTGATTGCCACATTACAAGATGTTACATTCTGCCCTGGGGCCTGGAGCCGTGACGGGGGAGGGAGACACTATGTTTCAAGAAAAGAAAGAGTAGGCAGGTCTCAAAGGAGCAGCCCCTCGGTGCCTCCCAGTGAGAACGCAGGCACAACCTTTACATAGACTTTTCTTCCCTGG